CCGTGCGCTGATGCTCATCCCGGGAAGCAGGATGGGGAAGGGGCCCCGCGGCAGCCCTGCTCTCGGCCCCTGCCTTTTTATGTCACGTCAGGCCACTGACATGCTTCCATTTTTACTAGAATTTGGACTTGTATAACTTTAATACTATGCCCTCTCCCGGGGCCTTAGCATGAAGGTGAAATAGCGAATACCCTGCGTGCACCTAATTAGCACTGATTACGCACCCGACGCGAGGCCTGCTCTGCTCAGCAAGCACAGCGAAGCTACAGGCAGAAGCAATTAGACTGGGATTTTCATCCCTTAGAAAAAAAGGCAAAAAAAAAAAAAAAAGGCAACTGGCCTGCACATATTCCTGCAACAGCTTTTGCTGTAGATGAAATTGCTTTTTTTCCTGTGGAAAATGCCTTGGGTCTGAAAGGATTTCAAGTAGCACCGGCGGAGGCTGACAGCTGTGTTCTTCTTTGTGCGTTCCCAAATGATAATGCAGTGAAGCAAAAAGGGTTCCTGCTCTGAGTGACTTATTTTCTGATCCCATGCAACGTGCTACAGCGTCAATCTACTTTGTCCACGCTCGCTCTGAGAGCAATGAGAGCCCCCGGGGGGAAAAATCCACCGGGCCTGTGATGACCCACATGAGAGAATTCTCATTAATTCCTTGGTGATGTTACATAAGGTCATTTTGTTGAATTAAAATTATTGGGATTAATCCTCTTAAATGTTCTCTTAGATGCAAGGGGCATCCAACTGCAGTTGGATCATCCCGCAGCTGGTTCTCGAAACGCAAAACAGTGTTTTAAAGCCCCCTAATGGTTTTGTTAAATTCATCCCCTGAACAAGGGCATAAAGCAGCTTTTTATGGCTTTTTGAGATCACTTACAACTTCTGTAAGCTGTCATTAACTGTCATCAAAGCCTGAAAAAAATGAGGCAAATGGCTTCCAGTTTTTCTGCCCAAACCTAAGTAATATTTTTGGTATCCCATCTGCCTCATCTGCAGTGGTTTGATAGCCAGAAGGTGACTTTGTCTTTCAAAACCTTCCCAGGTTTTGCTGTCCATAACCAAATATTCTGTAGAGAGCAGACACCGAGATATAGCAAGGGATGTTTGCTGCCTACTTATCTACCTCAGTATTTCATCTTTACAGTCGAGTAGTATCACCAAACCCCACCACAAATATAGAGCAACTTGGAGTATTTTGCCCTGGTGCTAAGGACAGCAGGTTACTCAGGCGTGACTCTTGGGAAGGCTTGGTAGGATGCTAGTGATTCCTTGCTTTGTGGGAAAAGCCAGGATTCCCAAAGCTCCACGTTCTCCTGAAATTCTTTGGGATTCAGGCTTGCTTCCTGTGTCTCTAGAGCTGATCTTTGCCAACAGCACAAAGCCAAGATGTCAAGCGGCGACGTGGCAGCTTGGGTGGTTGAGCTTTCTGCCTGCCCCTTAACAAGGTTTCTCAGCAGTACAGAGGTGTGTTGCATTTGTGACTGATTGCAGGTGTTTGGATATATTTACATCTGTTTTTTACACACTTGTACTCAGAGAGCAGGTTATTGGGTGGGGAGGCTGACGAGCAGCTTTTCCCCAACACCTGCCATGAGCATTCAGTCAAATAACATTAACCTCTTAGGAATTTTCAAATGCATCTGAGGTTTGGAATATACCAGTGGGAATGATCTCTTGCCTGGTCTAGCTTGGCACATGCAGCCAGAGTCACCGGGAAAGGGTTTCCCAGTAACAACTGTCCTGAAAGAGAAGGTCTGTTGTCCCACAGTTCTCCAAGCCCTTGGGCCGAGTTATCCAAGGGAAATAAGGTTTCTAAAGGAGCTTGAAGACCTAGGGCACATTCGGCATCTTGCGATACTTCCCTGCACTGCCAGGACATGTGGGCCCCTCAGTGGTTGAGCTCCCCAGGTCTCTGTGAGGTTCCTGGGCACTTGCTGGAGCCAGAGGGCAAGGTACCACTGAAGCAGCGAGGGTGCGGAGTTCCCGTGCGAGGAGAGGGCTGGCAGAGCCCCGTGTCCTGGGAGCAGCGGGTGCCGCTGACCCCAGGGCGCTGGGGGCTGAGACGCAGGGCCTGGCGCTTTCCTCGAGCTTCGCGTCCGCTCTTGGCTTGGCCTGTGGAGAAGGGTGCGTTCAAGAGCCAAGCGTCTGGGGCGCCCTGGCTAGGCTCTTGTATTAAAAAGCTTGGCCTATGGCCAGGCTGGCACTTAAGTTCTCCTTGCCTGGCCCGTAATGGGAGTCCCAAGAGCTCTGTGCTACCAAGAAATAACACGGAGAGTGCTGGGAAGTGAGTCTCGGAGCAGCTATCAGAGCGCCCGGCACCTCTCTCCTGCTCTTTTGCTGTCTTGCTGGCCGCTACACCCCGCAGGAGTGGGCGATGCCGTGGGACAAGCGGCTGTCCCCAGGTGTCCCGTTCAGCCGGGAGGGTGTCACCACGGGCTTCTGCAATTGCAACTGGCAGCAGCACTGCATTGAAATGGAGTGCAGGAGGGCTGAGGAGCAGCCTCTGTGACAAACATCTCCAAAAGATTATGTTCCTCCTCCTACTTTCATCAGTCTCTGCCATACCCACCACATGCCCATGTTCAGTTCAGATATTCCTTATTTATCTTATGTGCAAATGCCTGTAAGTCTCTCCTGAAAGATGAGAACAAGATGCATTACAGTTCAAAGTGACTTTCTGAGCTGCATTATAAAGCATTCAACCAGATTTGGCATCTCAGGCTTGTAATAAATTTACTCCACATCTGATAGAGTTTAAGCACATCTCCCGAATTATTTAACTGTCCCTGGTGTAAAACATTCCTGGCTTCTGGAGAGGTTTGATTGGATTCATAGAGGCTGAGGTTTAATTAGCTTAGACTCCGACTCTCTCTTCCCACCCACATAGTAAGTGCAATGCTAGCAGTTGGGTGATGCAATGTCTTGATGGGGAAGGCTTTTATTTTTTACGGAAAGTATCTTGGAGAGTCTGTGGATTCCCTCTCCTCACCTGTGTTTTCATGACAGGGAACAGCTTGGAGCATCTCCTGCTTTGTTACTGCAAGGTTGTCCGGAGCTGCGGCTGCTGGGAGCAGCTCTCCCCTTAGTAGGGGAAGAAACGTATACGGAGAATGACCCGCGCTTTGGAAATCGAGATAAGGGAGCTCTGATTTAGAACTTAATAGCGTTGCCAGCATCCCCTTTAAACAGTGATGATTGTAGATTACTAATATCTATATAATAGATTTACAACCTACAGCATACAGGGAAACGTGTGATAAAAAGCAGCATCTAATCTATAAGCAGAGGCAATAGTGATGAGTAACCTAAGGCAAACAAGTGGCTCATTAACCAATCAATTGATAAACTTAAAAGGAATAAGCGATGCTAAGTGCTGAAGGGCTGACCAAGCGGGTGCAGACAGGGCTCAAGCCCGCCGGGCAGAGGAGGGCAGGTGGTGGGAGCCCAGGAACCCGCTGCCTGTTGCCCAGGTTCTGATGGTGGGAGCCCAGCTGTTCCTTCCACTGGTGACCTGGCCCTCCTGAGGTTTCTGCACATGGTAAAATCGCTCCCGCGTGTTCTCCAGGGGCCCCTTCAGAGCTTGGGAGGAATTCTGAAAGATTCAGGATGGAAAGCATGATAACACTTCCTTGTAGCTGAGATAAGGGTGAGGAAACGAGGATTAAAATGAATCCAAATGCTGCAGGGGCATAGGCTGATACAGGGCCAGCAACTGCAATACTGGTGCAGCTCTGGTGACCAGAACTTAAAGCGGTAAAACTCAGTGCCGCCCTTTGTGAACTAATGAATTAAAGGGATGAGAGAACAGCAACCTGGAAGAGCTGCTCCTTGCAATAGTAACGGGGGAATAACCCATGGTTTGGGTTAAAGATGAGTCTCCTGCTTCGCGGTCTCCTTTTTGATGAAACCAAGGCTGGGTCCTTACAGCCCAACATCTTGGCCCCGACGCACTCAGCCATGAGCACAGGGGCTCTGAGGGCTGCCGCTGGACTGCACTGGAACAGGGAGGATTCCCATTTGCTTCCCAAGAGCTGGATTGGGCCCTGGGCCCACATGTGTGTGTTTTCCCCTTGAGCTGCGTGGGGCTGGGAGCTGTAATCCGTTCAGCAAGGGCCTGTTTATCTGGGAGAGCGGCAGCCGCAGCGCTGCTGTAAGAGGGAAGAGTGGGAGGGTGCTTCGGGCAGGGAGGTGCAGATTACAGCCCCGCCAGCAATGAAGCCAGCACAGAAATAAAGCAACGCAGAATGTTCTAATTTTCTGAATAGATTTAATTCCATTTTGTTCTCTGTGAGTCCCTTTGCTGACAATTGTCTGAGTAGAGGGAGGGAAAAAGGGTTCCAAGCAAAACACTTGTCCATGAAGGATGTTATTAAAATGTCCTACTTGAGCACTGGTGCTCTGCAGACTGCGCTAGCGCCTCAGCATTCCCCCTTGCTCCCCTCAACCAGCTCTGCCTGGATGCAAAATGTTTGTCAATTATTTTTTCCAAAAGCGCAATTGCTGCCGTTGGCATTGGAGCTGGCTTGCCTTGGCCTGCCTGATTTAGCACCCACTTGAACAGGGGGGGTTCAAAAGTTCAACGAGAGCTTGAGTGCTGTTGGATTTGCAGCGGGCTTAGAAACTGCTCGGAGAAGACAGGGGTGGAGGGGGAAAGAACAGATGGGGAATGAGTGTAAAATGGGGCAGAAAAAGAGTGGTCAGAGAAATGAGCAGAGGGTGTGCGAGTAATATCACCCTGGAGAAACCCCAGCTGGGTAAGGGTCTGTCCTTTGGCTTCTGGAGAACCCTGCTCATTTACACCTGCATGAAGACTCTGTTCTGTATCTTTGCTAAGGAGGAGGTGGCTCTAGCAAGGATGCCGGGCCAGTACGGGGCATGAATTTTGGCCCGAGGGGCCTCCTGTGGGACCTGTTTCTCTTAAAAGGCCAGTCTGTGCAAGAGCAAGGAGCTCATCAATTCGAGCAGAGCTTCGCCCTGCATGGGGATGAGCTCAGAGTCACCGGTCACAGCGGTGCCGTGGCGTGACCCTGGTGCGAATTGCCACTTGCAGCAGGTTTACGAGACCCAAAACTGTTTCACCAGCTTTTGCTGTGGTGAAAAGGGGGTAAACGCACCAGTGACATCAAGAATCTAAATAGGTGTTTAAAGATGCGAAGCTCTTAGGTATTTTCAGCATCTATTATTCATGGCATGCTTTAGGGTTGCCCCCATTGTGCACCAAAGCACATAAATATTTTAAGAGGCTAGAAAATCCCTTCCTGGCGCGGTCAGTCCCACTAGGCTCTATGTGGGTGGCTGCTCCGGGCACGGTGATGGTGCCGGGGTGCTGCCCTGGGCACTCGCACACAGAGCCCGTCACCCGCCTTCCCGGGCGTGTGGCCCCCTCCCTGACACCGTGTCCTTGCTGCCCCCAACCCTTGTTCTTCATCTATCAGCCGGGAGCCATCATCTAAGCAGGCCAAAGCATCCAGCTCATTAGCACTGCCTTTTAATTGAGCTAAATGCCCTTCCTTGTTCTGAAGGAGGTAGCACCCATCTCCTGGCTGTTTGGTGTTACTGGTCGCTTCTCCTCCTCCCTGGCCTCAGCTTCCTTAATCCTCAACCCACTGTTAAGACTGTGAGATCTGTAGCTCATTCGACTGTGTCTGGCTGACCTCAGATCACGCGGTACAAGTTAGGTCTTTCCCCACAACGTGAAAATGCCCCTCTGCGTTTCCCGGTGCGGAGCAGACTGCGGATGTGCAGCTCCGGCTTGAGCGCTGCCTCCTTTTAGCTGTGCTTTGTGTTGCCGTTTTCAGCAGGGTTACAATTAATTAAAAATCTTGGTTAATTAAAATGTTTTGCAGCAACAACAACAGCAAAAATTGCTCAGGGAAAAAAAAAAAAAAAAAAAGCCTCCGTTGAGTGCAAGCAGAGCCTGGCTAGGATGAATATGCAGGGATCCCGCTGTGCCCTGTGCAGCCTGTCCCCGAAGCAACCCCTGCAGCGGAGCTGGGGGAATGAGAGGCCTGCGGATGGTGACCAAGGGTGGAAGCTCTGTGTTGCTCTCGGTACTTCCCCCTTGCCCGCCATGCACCAGCGAAGCGTGGTGGCTGTTGGTACAGTCGGGCGAACGCACGGATGTGCCAGGGCAGTGGGACCCTGTTTCTGCTCTTTATTCTGGCTTTCCCCGACAGGGAGAGTTTTACAGACTGCTTTCCCCTCTGCAAAGGCAGCGACAGCACGAGGTGCTGGGGTCGAGCTCTCCTTCTTTTGGCCTTAGTGCAGTCTGTGCTGCGGCGGAGCGTGCCCCCGGTTCCGGGCACGGGCACAGCCGAGCCGGGTCAGGATTGTTTCCGCAGCGCCGTGAGACAAATGCTGCCTTGTTGCACTGAGTGCGCGTTGGGCCCGGGCTGCCCCAGGCTGGCCGTGTCCTGTCCCTGCTCTCCAGGCCCCACCGGAGCACAGGCTCTGCTGGGCCTTAGGAAATGGCAGCAGTGGGGATGATGCTTCTTCTCCCTCTTTTTTAGATTTATCTGTTTGTTTATTTTTGGCAGGCATCACTCATGCTTTAGCAATGTAAATGCTATAGGGAAGAAATTCTCTGATGGAAGCGCAATTTCAGAAAATGGTTCATGGTTCTGCTATGTTTCTTCTTGGGGCAAACAAGCTCTGGTCTGCTGGGTTTTGGCCCAAAAGTAAAATTTTACAGCTTGAGTATGCAAGAAAAGAAACAGTAGGAAAGAGGCATCTCTGTCTGGAGTAAGATCCCCAAACACAGTCCTGTTCCTCAGCACCTGGTCTACTTCCAGGTAAAAGACTTTTCAGGGAGGGATCGGAAACATAGGTCATACCTGTTTAAAGCAGTAACAGGTATGAAATTGCTGCCCTGAAGCACACAGAAGCACCTCTTTTAACCTCTTGAAGCAGAATGTACATGCTGACACCCTTTTGGCAGTATCTGGGTTTTCAAGGTCCAGCCTGTATGCTGCAGACACTGAGATGTGTGAGCCTCTCCAATTCACATGTCTCTAGGGCCTTTAAGAAAAATCCAGGAGACACCCTGAGAGAGCAGCAGAAACGGGGGCACTGCTGTGGCTTCTGAGCATGGAAATGATCACGCTGCAGCCACAGAATCCTATCACTACTATGGATTTTCTAAAGAAAAAAAAAGTCAATTTGAGCTTGGTGACTATTCCACACTATTATTTATTATGGTAAAGTTCCCTACCAGCTGCAAAATTTCAGATGTGCAAGTGAAATTCGTAATACCTCACGTCTGCTTTAAACATGCCCAGCGCCGCTTCTTCCCCTCTCCAGGTTAGACTGTGTTCAAAGAGGGACCGGGGGGGTTGTGACTTAAAATCCAGCAGCTCATCAGCCAAGGGGCTTGCGAGGCAGCCCCGGCTACACCCTAGTGAGCAATGTGAGTGCTCAGGGAATCGTATTCATTTCCTCCAAGGCCCAAAGGTAGCAGAAAGTCATGTTGAATCCTTCCTGAGAAAATAAGTGGCGGTAACGTGGAGTCTTCCTAACCCTGAGAGGCCCCAGCCTGCACCTCCAAATGCTACAGACATCTCTGGCACTTTTGTACTTTGGGTCCACCAAGCTGCTTGAAGCTGAGCGTCCTGCTCCCTTCCTTAGGTTCAGCTCTGCAAGCAGGTCTGCTTTCCCATGGGAGGTACGGGAGAGAAGGGGTAGCCCCCAGGATCTAGCTTGACCGACACTCTGGCCAAGGCACCTGCCGGTCCCCAAACGTCACCCCACGCCCTTGTCCCAACCTGGGGAACAGAGAGCTGGCAATGATCGTGTCATGCGAAAAGCTCTGGGATTTGCTCACGAAAATGCTGCAGAGGGGTATTTTTCACATGCGTTCGTCCAGTCTTGCCACACTGGAGCTGAGTTGATCCTGGGGGAGCACAAAGGGCTACTGTCCGGTGGCACCAGTAGCCAAAGGGAGATTTGGGCTCCAAACGGGCTTTGCCGATGTCTCAGCCTCGCTCTGCAGGACACCCGTACAAACATCAGGCGCTGCTTTTACCCAAATAAGCAGCAATTTGCCTGTGTTCAAGCACAGGGCACAAAGGATTCTGATTGTGCAAACACAAACAGCCCATTCTGGTTTCTGACTAGTCCTGTTGGTTTGAATGGGACTGTGCACGTGAGTGAAAGCACACGCAGGGCGAAATGTTTCACGTAAAAAGGGCAAAATTCTTACATTATATGTAAAATAATTATAAATGCCAACTATGTGGGCACCCAAAATATGCTGAACTGCAGAACAGACTTGCTCTCTGCCAGAAGGTGTGTGAGCATTGGATCTAATTTATTACTTTTGCAGACTACATGGGGGAAGAAAGGCTGGGAGCCGGGCTTTCAGGTCGTGTTTCCTAGGTCTCCAGCTAGGTTAGAGAAGGCCATTCGAAAGTGGTTCTGTGTTGCTGTTATTCTATTTATTGAGAGTGGTTAATAAGCCAGGAGACAGTTTTCCTTGTCAAAGAAATGGTCCAATGGGGAGTGCTTTTGGACTGGTTTTAGGATGCCTGTTTGCCTAGAAGTAATTAGGTTAAATGTTTGTCAAGTGGTTTGGGAAGCTGGAGCAATCGAGCACGGTCCTCAGCTTAGAGACACGGGCTGCTGCTCTGTGCTGGGGGACACCATGGGATCTGGATCAAGTTGCAGCTGACACAAGTTAGAGCCAAACCCCATGTCATGTTGCCTCAGGTGAGATGCATTTCCAGGGGTATTTGCTTTGCTCATCAGCAGCTAAAAAGCCCCCCTCGGTGAGGTGCACAGAAGCACTCGAAATCAGCAAAATGAGAACAAATGCACCCAATGTGCAGGAAATGTTGGTATCCTGACACAGTCTCCAATGGGGCCAAGCAGCGTGCAGTTGTGCTCAAATCCCACTGATGTTTATTTACTAGGACAAATATAGCTGAGGGCAGCAACTTATCACCGCTCGCTTTATTTCAGGAGCAAATTGCTACCCTGGAACCAGATATTTGATGTTTCCCTGCTATGGGCCGACAAAGAAAGCTCGTGCCCTGCTCAGCTAATGACCGGAGAAACTGCCTCGTGTGGCTTACAGAAATGAAAAGGACAAAAGGTTCTAGATGAAAAATAACAATTTCCCTGGCTTGCTTTTGAGATCAGCCAGCGGGAAATTTGTAGTAGAAAACTCAGCTTTGAAATGCAAGAGTAACAGCAACGGTGAAAATAAATGACAAGAAGTTCTTGGTTCTGGGGAGTTTTACTGAGGCCAAAACCCGCCAAGTTTTGCTGCTGGAGAGTATATGAGGATTCATTCAAAAGTCAATAAGTGGCAGAGAGGGATTAGTACCTTCCAGTGACTGCTGTAAGTGCAGCCCTTGGAGAGGCTCATGCAACATTCATAGTGGCCTCCCTCTCAGCTGGCATGTGGCCCTGGGTTTCGCGCACACCCTGTTTACTATGATGGCACCGAGACAAATTTGATCTGAGCAGCGCCAGCACAAAACCCAAAAGCACCTTTGGATAAAATCTTAACGCTTAATGGCTTTTGGGAGATGGTAGAAGGCAAGCTGGCTCTTCTGGAATGCGGAATACCTTCTTCGCTGCATGATCTGACCAATTCTGCAAGCAGGGCTGGGCACTAGGATGCTTCCAGGCTTAAGGACAGATGTCCTTTCCGGTCCTGGACAGACAAAACTGGAGCCCATTGCCCCTCAAGCAGGGCAGACAGGTCCAAGGTGCTTTCAGTTCCTTCTGTAGAGGCACTAAAAAGCCTCTCTCTGCTGTGGTAAGAGTGCTACAGATGTAGCCCCATGTGCTACAGATCAGAAGTGCTTGGAAGACTTGTAAGAAGCTGGAAAATTAGAGCTGGAAAATTCAGTATCAAATGAAACTGGGATATCTATGAGCTGGCATATTTAATTAAAAGCTCCAAAATATTTCAAATATGGTGTCAGTTATCTTAACACAGCTCTGAAGATCCTAATTTTTCCAATTTTGATTTGGAAGTCCCTCCTCCAAACAGATCAGTAAATAGAATTAGGCTGCTATTTTCTATGGCCCAAACCTCCCTTCTGCTTTCCTGCTCAAACTTCCAACAGGATGAGCAAAATAAA